AAAATATTAAAACCCACAACTCCAAAACGGCCCATTAACGGACTACTAAATGACCTTTTTAATACCTCTAGACTCGTCCACTGTTTTCAAACAAAAACTTACTTTCAAACTTTAAAATAACCACGAATGTACCGAGATATGAGTCGCGATTAAATTATCTCTAGATTTGGCAACAAAGTAGGTTTGGAGCCAAATTCAAACTCTTTTTAACAAATTTTAGTATTTTATTATTTCTAATTTGTTCCACTTGCTCGATGGATATTCACTTACTAATTCGACCTATTTATAGTATAGATCCAGAAAATGCTACTATAGCACAAGCATGTTTTTCGTTTGGTCCGATTTGACTAACGATATTAATTTTTTGTACAATTGGTCATTAACATTTTACAGTAGATGTCAATTACACCATTGTGACCACTTTTGAAGGTTACCCGATTTCTCATCCTACATGTCATTTATTTTAACTTAAAATTGTTAATGATGTGTATATTTGGTCCACGTCATTTTAATGAAAGATATTAACAGAAACCCTCATTGCACTTGTCTCCTTCCCCTCGACCTCAATTTAATCTATAGAAGTAAATGGCAAGTCAACAATTAGGGTTTTTACAGTTGCGTCCGATCGAGGTATCAGTGTTGCCGATCGAGTTGTAAATGAAGCTAGTAGCATAAACGGACAACCTAATCTTGATGTTGGACTGGTTGCGATGGTGGAGCTTAATTACCAAGGTGTATTAACTCGTAATCCTTTGTCTTACTTGGGGGGAGTGAAAAGCTCATTCAATAATATTGAATTTTCTTTTATGACTTATTCTGATTGTGTCACTTTCTTGGAATGTTTCATTCATGAGGAGATTAAAAAACTTTACTACTATGAACCAGAAAAAAGCTTTATATGACGACATTTGACCAATTTTTGATGATGTAGATTATGCTGGTTTTATTTTTGATGCATATGACACCAATGTCATAATTTCTGTCTATGTTGACCATGATGGTGATGGACTTTGGGGGGGGGGGGTGATGAACAACAAAACGAAGGTGATGATAACGACTCATGTATTGATGGTATAGAAAATGGAGATAATCTTAGGGATGTGGAGGTTGAAAATGATGAAGATGCTATCCTTATGAACAGAACAACCCATGATCCTTTCTTGAGTCAACCATGTGCTGAAGGGGGTTTAGATGATGAGGAAAATGACTTTGTAGATGATGATAATGGGATGGAAATGCATGATTCCCTACATATGCATTTCATTTTCAATGAGAGTTTACACTGGAAAAAACAATAACCCATACTTGGAATGAAATTTAAGGATCCAAAACAACTATAAAACATGTTGTTCAATTATGGAATGGCTAATGGGTACCAATTATGGTTTGAAAAGAATGATATACAGAGACTTCTTGTTAGGTGTTTTACAAGTGCATACACATTTAAACTATGGGCATCTTGGATGAGTGATGAAGCTAGTTTCCAGATCAAGTCTTTGAAGGATGAGCATAATTGTGCTAGGAATTTTATGTTTGGCTCATTGGTCACTTACACTATACTACACAAATTCCACATAGGCAGAAAATGAGTGTAAGGAAACTTAGACTAGCAGTGATCAAAAAGTTTGGTGTAAATATTAGCATAGGGCAATGGAAAAGAGAAGAAAAATATGCAATGGAACTTGTAGAGGGTAATTTTAAGGATCACTATGCAAAACTCTGGTCATATAGTGAAAAGATTTTGAGAACAAATCCAGGTTCCAATGTTAAACTTGAGATGGATCATATGCCTGATGGGAATAACTATTTCAGCAAGTTCTATGTGTGTTTTGATGGTGTGAAAAAAGGTTGGATGGAAGGATGTAGAAAAATAATTGGACTTGATGGGTGTTTCTTGAAAGGGCTTTGCAAGGGGGAGTTGCTTTGTGCTATAGGTAGGGATATAAATGACAAAATATTTCCAACTGCATAGACAGTGGAGTCTATTGAGAACAAGGAGAATTGGAAGTGGTTTTTAGATCTTATTATTGATGATCTTCATTTAAACTGAAGTAATGGATACTCTTTAATGTCAGATCAACATAAGGTATGTGTTTTTATTATTTGATTGTTTAATTCATTATATTTCATATTATAACATCAAGAAAAAAAATTCTTTTTTTACAGGGGTTGATTGAGTGAAGGAGATGATGCCTTTGGTAGAGCACAGACAGTGTGATAGACACATTTGTCAGAATGTACTTAAGAGATATAGTGGGGCCCACTATAAGACTTTGTTTTGTAGAGCATCCAAAGCATAAATTGAGAATACATTTAAAGCTACAATGAAAGAATTGGAACATTTAAACCCAGAGGCACATAAGTACCTCATGGACAAGGATCCAGAAACTTTGTAAAGAGCATAATTCTAACTAGGGATGAGAATTTGACTTGAAAACCGAACCAAACCGGAACTCGAACCGAATTAGTCCCAAACAAGCAATTAGATTCGGTTTTCGGGTACCTATATGAGGCTTATTCGATTTTTAGGTTATTCAGTCTGAGTTACCCAAATAAGGGCTTATTCGAGACAAAAGGACAGAACCGAATTTGAAAAGTCACAATTTTTATTCTGTTTCAGCATGTTTGCAAAATTTTATCCAAATTTGAAGTGTTATAACGTCTTCGTTATTGGTCCGATTAGTCCGATTTTTTTCCCAGTATGTAGTTCACAATTTAAACTACATTTACACTATTTAAATGCGTTATTTGGTTTTATATTCAGTGAGATATAGACCCCTAAACATTGAGTATTAAAGTTTAGTTTTTTTGTTTCAACATGTTTGCAAATTTTTAGCCAAATTTGAAATGTCATAACGTCTTCGATATTTGTCCGATTAGTCCGATTTTTTTTCCTACTTGTAGTTCACAATTTAGAATATAGTTTAAACTATTTAAATGCGTTATTTGGTTGTATATTTAGTGAGATACAAGCCTCTAAACATGGGGTATTAAAGCTGAGTTTTTCTGTTTAAGCATGTTTGCAAATTTTTAGCCAACTTTGTCGTAACGTCTTCATTATTTATCCGATTAGCCTGATTTTTTTCCTAGCTTGTAGTTTACAGTTTAAACTACAATTTACACTATTTAAATGCATTATTTTGTTGTATATTCAATGAGATACAAGCTCCTAAATAAGGGGTATTAAAGTTGTTTTTTTAAATAATAATAATAATAATAATAATAATAATAATGATAATAATAATAATAATAATAATAATAGATCCTACATATATTCGAGATGTTTTGACCCCTGCAAAAGAAGATTTCAACATTGGTAGAGCTATGGTTGGATTTCTCGAGAAATTCAACGTGAAAACCGACATAGTATCGACGTCAACAAAACAGATGTCACATCGTTCTTTTGGAGAAATATGTGCTGTGTACAAACACAAAGTCTAACTCTTTTTGCACCTTTGAAACAATTATATATGTACTTTATATTAATTTTAATTAACAAATTTGTTTCTTTAAAAGATTTGTTATGAAATCATAAGCTACAAAAATCATACAAAATACAATATTTATAATCACATTGTAAATGTTATTTGTGTTATTCAGGTTATACAATCATAATATGATTTATCCGGTTCTTTTTGGATATAATAGGTCCTTAATCATCATGTACATGTTATTTGGGTTATTCAGGCCCCAACCGAACCAAACCGAATAATACCCGAAATGAACCGAACCGGTATTGCTTATTTGGTTCGGTTTTCGGTTCATATAATTACTCTTATTCGGTTATCGGGCTATTTGGGTTTGGGTCGGTTCGGCTCGGTTTCGACCCGAATAACATCCCTACTACCAACCAGGTAAATGTTGTGACTTAGTTGAGAATGGCATGTGTGAGAGCTTTAATGTTGTAATTGTAGATGCAAGAAACAAGCCAATTATAAAAATGTTAGAAGAGTTGAGATTGTACACGATGGAGAGATTGTACAATATAAAGGTGAGAGGAAAACAATGGGGTAATCAGATTTGTCCAGAAATAAGGGAAAGGGAAATGAGCTTATAAGCACATGATACATTTTAAGGTGTTAGCAAGTGGCTTAAACCAATTTGAAGTAAGGAGAACAAATGAGGCATTTGAGGTTGACCTTGATAGAAGTACATGTTCTTATAGGTTGTGGAATTTGAATGGGTACGAATATGTAAGTTACTCCAACTCTAGATAGTGTTGTTAATGGTCAAGTTGATGAAGTTGGTGGTAGTGCTCAAGTTCAAGTGCAAAGGAGGATTCGTGTGAAAAGAATTCCTGAAATATTGAAGGGGGTAAGGAAAAGAAAATCAGAAAGAATCATAAAGGTGAAATTGGGCAAGAATGTTGGGGATGATAATGCTCTAGGAAATTCAAAGGAGAAACCACTTCCTATAGATTAGGATTAATATGTTTTATGTTTTTATTTGTGTTATGTTGTGATACTTTGATGTTATGAAGTTGTTATGTTTTCCACTTGTATAATCTATGCAGTAACATACAATTACAAAACTACCCATTACTATGGGCATTTTTTGTATTTAATGGAAGTATTTTATGCACTATTACAAAATATGAAAGTTGATTGCTATTTTTTGAAAGATGTCAAGCTATATGGTACATGGCTGATAATGACCAATATGGTTCTATGTGTATATACTTTAATCACTAAAGTAGAAAATGTGTTTGATATAAACATTTTTCAAAATAGACTATGTATATTTAATAACCAATATGGTCCACAGTTGACAAAAAGATAGCGGTCCACACATAAAAAAACAAATACTTTATCTACTAATGAAGTTATCGTTAGATTAGGTGACAATTATAAAATTACCCATACACATGGGTATTGCAGTTTCCAAAATAAATTGCTAAATGTTGGGATCTACAACCAACATGGCTCTTTTCAATTTCCAAAAGTAGTACATAAACACCAAAAGACAACTACATATACCAAAACATCCTACAATATTCCTTTCTACTTAAAGCACCAAAGTGCAACAATCAACATAATTATCACAACCAACACTTTCAACATGAAATTTTGTTGCATGGAAGCTTCCAATTTGTTGTTAAGCATCATCACAACTTGCTTCTCCTTTGTTACATTCTTCTCAAGCTTGTCAACAACCGACTTTTCCTTTGAAAGCATAAACTCCAACTCCACAACCTTCTTTATAAGGTTAATCAGTTCAACAAATTTCTCCTTTGAATCTACCTGTTGCTTTAATGTTCTATTAAGGTTCTTGTAGTACCCCTCACGCAACTCATCGTCTTTCCACAAGAAGTAATCACATATTTTTAATGATGTCTGAAATATACACCAAAATATACGCTATTGTCAAATCATCTGAGATCTTACAGTTAGATACAACACATAAGTGATACAAACAAAGGGATCCCACAAACAAATCGTTATGTTCAACATTTTCACAATAATAAACGACATTACACTATTAGGGTTTTCTTATGCTTATCTAAACATCATAAATGCTACAAATCGTATGATTTTTGAACATTACTAGAAATCGCAACCATGAGACATTACCAAACTGTTGCTGTAGTTCCAGAACCGCTTTCCCGGGTTGTGATATTTCCAGCTCGTCTGTTCATTTGCTGACTTCGCACACCCACAAGTCTTCAGCTCATCTAACTCCCTAAAGTTACCGATCTGGATGGGAGGGTTTTTGGAAGAAGAGATCAAGGATCGAGACATTGCTTTGGTTCTTTGGTCGAGATGAGCTTATATGAAAATGGAAAGAAAGAAAGTAGGGTGTTCCATATATAAGTGTTATGTTTTTTTTATAAGGGGGGAGTTGATGTGGAGTCAACGTGGAAAAAATGTGGCAGTTTCCCATTAGTTAACGTACAAGTCGGATGACAGGTAGAATAAGAAGCCGGGTAGCCTCCTAAAAGCGATCACAATGGTGTAACTAACATCTATAGTAAAATGTTAATGGTCAATTGTGCAAAAAATTAAAATAGTTGGTGAAATTGGACTAAATGAAAAACATGCTTGTGCTACTATAGCATTTTTCTGATATATATTTTTTACAAATATTATTCATAAAATATAACATGAATCACATATTATTTAATATATAAAATATGATACAATAATAATTACATTTTACTTAATATTTAAGATAACATTTCTTAAATAAGATAAATATCTACTATAGCAAACATGCATGGTAACGTAGACACAAAGATGAATCTTAAATAAAATAAATGTCTACTACAACAAACATGTATTTGATCAGAAAATAAATCCTCTTAGCGTACGATTACACTTTCATAATATACAGTTAGTTAGAGAAGAAAGCGTTGTTGTCGATTAATGATTTTTTTAGTTGAGGTGGGTATGTGTTTGATCGGAGAAGAAAGCAGATTGTCAAATGTCAATTGAAAATCTGTTGAGTTATAAATGATGACTTAGCAATGAGACCATAAAAATTCCCTCACTCCTTTAGAATTTGGAAATTAGAGTTATATCAGGAAAAAAAGTTGGAGAAATCAAAGAAACATATAGTTAAATGGGATGGATTATAGATAAAATGGATCAATAATCATCCATACCTAAATGAATAAAAAGTTAAGATCCAAACCCATGAAATTGTTATGGATTTGGATGGGATTATAGTAAAAAATCCCTCAGTGTGTGTAAGAGAGAGATAGAGAAAGAGAAAGAGATACACACACACACACAGAATAAAACATTGTAAATGGTTTTAAAGAATTTCTTTTATATGGCATCCATCTCACTGAGTTGTTCAAAAATGAATTAGGTAGAGGTAATCTAACATCCTTGTTGTTTCGAGGATTGGATGGGAATGGTATTCTAAAAGATTCTTTCCCTGAACTATACAAATTGGAATCAGGAAAACAATGTGTACTATCTGAAAGATATCAAAAAATAGTAAATTAAACCGAATGGATGTTAGGGTGGAAAAGGCCACCATCATTAGATTTGGAAAAAATTTGAATTAGCCTACTGCAACCTAATACTACAGAACACAATCCTCACTGACTCAAGTGATAGGTGGAGATGATTGGCTGATAGCTCGGGTAATAGCCCGGGTAATGCAAAATCTAATTTTCCACGTATTTGCTTTCAACCGTTGAGTTATGAATTATTTGCAAGATGGGTCCCTAATGGCAATTTCTTGATTTTGGGTGTAGCTTAGGTACGTTGGGCGTACATTTTGGTACGTTGGGCATAACTACTCCCATAGCAGTATGTAGGGTGTACGTGGTTTAAACCAAAACCTTTATATTTAAGGTTTGTGTACTATTTAAGCATGATTATAGCCCCAAGACCATTCCCTTTATCAGCCTCCATCCTAAGATCGACCCTCCTTGCTAACCCGAGTCTATTTTGATCATTTTGAGATTTTAGAGTGACTTGTGGGATTTTGTTTTGTGAAGAAAGATCATCAAGGAGTAGGTTTTGCTCTCAAGACTTTAGATCAAACATCTTCTCTTCATTTTGCACAGTTGGAGGTATAAATCTCCAACCTTGGCTCATATTGTTCTACATCTTGGTTAATCCTCGATTTTCTTCTCTTTTATCCTAAAATCTAGGTCTTTTTGGGTATGAGGTACTCTAAAGCCTTTAAGTCATCCTTTTAGATATTTTAGGGCATTTTAGGTTATAAAAATGCAAGCTTGGATATTGGTTTGTCCGTGTGCAATAGTTATATTGTAGAAAAAGTTTGAGAAAGTTAGGTTTTTAGTGTTAGGCTTCTTGTAGCCATGCAAAGGCATAAAGTTTACAACGTTATGGCCTTAGGGGTCTTATTAAGCTTATATTTGAAATTTGGACATAGGGTCTTAAGGCATTAAGACCTTATTATGAGTTTTGTGCTAAGGGTGCGTACGTTGGGCATTAATACGTTGTATGTTCTGCACTTCAGCCATGATCCATCCTCGTTTGGTTCTGTACGCGGGGTGTGCGACTCAGTTCCAGCTTTTGGTTATTTTGGGCCTTGAGTCGTTGGGCTTTGCTTATTGGGCTTGGACCATAAAATTTCATGGTGATGGGTCACTTCTGGATTTGGGACCATGTTGGACTTTTAATGCTCTTTAGGGTTGGGCCTAGTATTTTGTTTTGGGCTTAAATGAAAAGGGTAAATTGGCCATTTTACCTTAGCTATTGGACACATAAAGTAGAGTTTCAGCTATGGGTTATGTCCTAATTATTAATAGGGGCTTTATTTGTTAAGTCTGAGCAGGGATTTTTCCGATCGAGTAGCCCAAGCATATATCTGGTTTTTCAGTAGCTGAGATGAGTTTCCTCACTAGATCCATGGATCAAAGGCACCAATGTCAGTCCATTGCTTGTTGAGTAGTATGCTTGATATGAGAATTGTATGCTAGATTAGGGTTAAGGATACCTCTTGGAATCATATGATATAATTACATGATTTGCATGATGCCTCATAGCTTATGGGGAATTTGATGTTATGTACTACTTGGAATTGAGACCGAGTTAGTTATCTGCTATGTGTATTCTTTCAAAGTTGTATACAATTAGGATTATATAGCCGTATAATGATCAATTTGACCTCATTTTTTTATTCTTTGTTTGGTCGTAGACTTAGGTTAAAATCATCATTTGACAATCTATATGATCCTATTTTGTGTATAACTTGAATGCATAGGGTAACCAACGATGTTGATTGAGGTTCTTGGTATTGCGAGTGGTGGGAGTTGAGAATTCCTAGGAGAGTCTAGGATATGTATGATGTATAGCATATGATTGGTTTATGGTTTTGGTGTGGTGACTTAGAGGAATCAGGACTGTTGAGTATTTTAGTGTTGCATCTTTTGGGCCTATTTTTTAGTGTTTTGTGTATCTGGGTTGGGCCTGTCCACCTGTAATTAATGATTAGGATTTTACTATTTAAGGCGCATGCATGCATCGTATATTGCTTAATCGTGTCATTGTAAACCCTACACACCTCTACAATAACAGTTCTTTATTGAGCTCCTCTGAGGTTGTGGTTTTTAATCATTAGACACATTCTTGGTTTATATTCTGTTTTTTGATTGCTTTTACTTGTTTGAATCTAATCGATCATTATAGTTTTTAACTCATCAATTGTTATCAGAGAAGGAGATTGTGTACTATATACGCATCTCTTCTATTGAAAGAGTTTTTAGGGTTTCCGCTATTATTGGATCTGGTTCATCCGTCATCATTATTGTTGACGCTGATCTTTGATATTGATATTACCCAAAAATAATTTAGTTTACACATCTGATTCATATAGGTTTTATCGATCTCTAAACATGTCAGATGATTTACACGTTAACTCAATAAATCTTTCTAGCAACATTGGATCTACAACCAAAATTCCCATTCTTTTTTCTCAATGACTATGAAGTGTGGGTGTTGTATTTTGAAGACTACATCCTTGGGGTTAAAGACAATGGCTATTTTATATGGGAAACCATTACTATCTAAATGTTTGCTCATACAGGAACAAGAAGAGAAATCAAAACTCAAGCCGACGATAACAATCATCTTCTTGATGTTAAAGACGTATCATAAAATGAGAAGGATAGGCAGATACGAAACATTAAAGCAATGAGAATCATCATGTTTGCTTTGACACTAGGCACTTTTTGTTTAGTTATTTCATAAGACACAACAAAAGCCATTTGGGATTGGCTTAAAGAGTTGTATTCAACTGATGTTGATCTTGAGCATTCCACTCAGACTCTACTGCATTTAGAGTTTAGATCGTTTGTTCAAAAGCCTGAAGAGAGTTTGGATCAAACTTTCAATCGCTATAATCATCTTCTCAGTAGGATGATGAAGCAAAAGATTAGACGTGAACTAATCGAGCAAAAGGTCACGTTCATGAACGAGCTTAGATCTGAATGGAAGGCTGTTGTTTCGACTGTACACTTAAAACGGAGAAACCAAAACTCGAAGAGGTTCACACTAGTATTCAAAAAGACAATGCCGAGTTTAACTCTTGAATTTCATCGAAGATCATGTAGCTTCATGATGACTTGGCAACTGAGAGCAATATAAGGGATACTCTTGCTATGAAGACAGAAAATCTGAAAGTCTTAACACTCAAGCTAGAGCACATAGAGAAACGAATCATTAACCTGCAGTCTGAAAGGGCCGTTATGAAAAGTTGTGTAGTAGATGTGAATGCACTGCTTTCGGACATCGTTGAAACTCGCAGATCGATGATCACGATAACAGTTAAGAAACATCAATCTGAAGGTCCCATGCCAGTGTTCGCAATGCTCAATCGCCTGGAAGGTGTTCTGGAGTCAAGCTGAATTCCGAAAAAAAGGGAGAAGAAGTGAAACAATCCAAGAAGGAAAACCCCAAACCTTCAATCAATCCCACCGTCAAGCTATAATTGATAACAATGAAGATGAAGAGCTTGAAGAAAACGAGCTGAAAATAAGAAATGATCGTGAGGCTCGGATGGATGAGCACCAAAGAATCATTTGTGAGGCTGAAGTAAAAGAAAAAGTCAAACGCGAAGCTCAGGCCATGCTGGAAAGCCGAAAGCACTTATTTCCATTATGGACCTTAAAGAAAATTCTGAGTGAAGCTGTTAATATACCAAGTTAGTATTGGTTGGAAACAGTTGTGTCATTCGATCTTCAGAATACACAATATTCGCGGTTGTACCTTCCGATCACTCCGAAAGCCTTCAGGTTTCATAGCGTTGTGAAAGTTAC